AAGATATCATATATATTCCTATATGACTCAAATTCTTGAGTTCAGCATCCCATTGTGATGACTCAAGAAATAACAAAACAAATAATAGAAGAATGTAGTATCATGGACGAAGACTATGACATTCTATTATTCTATCTTCTTTCGATTTCCGTGAACAAAATAGCTCATGCACCCGCTTCGTGTCTGAAAATAAAACTGGTTTATCTGAAAATATTCAAATAAGTTGACTCTTTTCTTTAAATACAATGGCTTCGATCGAACTCGTTTCTCCTCCATTTCGAAGTAAACAAAAATTGTCTACCATTACTAGGATATGATCTAATCTCGACTAAAAGACAAGTCTACACGATGTTTATCTCGAATCATTGCTCAGATTTTGAATTCTTTAAAAAGAGAAAAAGTAAATACATAATATTTATATCTTTTTAGCACAATTGGCGTCTATAACTAATATTGAATACGCGCTTCTGAACTTGCCTCATCTCAAGCATTTCGAATTACATGGTAAAAACGTTGATGCCGACTTAGCCAATGGACAACTGTGGGAAAATACCACTAGTTCACTTGTTACATTTAATTTCATTTTTCATTTGAGACTCACTGAAGTAGAACCAATTCTAGATAGTTTTAGAACTTGCTTTTGGAACGAAAAACGTTGGTTTGTAGCTTACGAGAACGGCCGTCTGTTCTCAGTACCACGCTTCGCTAATGAGCGTTGCATCGATAACTTTCAACGTCCTGTCTATTCAACAGCTTTTGATGATAAAATTTTTTCTGATAGTATCACTACGCTTGTACTGTCACAATCATTTGTTAATATACAACAACAACAACTTCCTCATGTCCGAACACTGCAAATCACTAGCGATGTTTACCCATATCCTCTTTCATGTGCTATCAATATAATGCAAGTAGAACATTTAATACTATCGTTTCCAATCCTACAACCACTATCAAACGTCGTTCATCTTCTAAACATGTATGGTCTTCGAGAATTGTCAATAATGACAAATCCATTTCAGCTTCTAAAACAACGCAAAGGAATGCAATTCAAAAATATCAGAGCATTGGCAATGCCCTCCGCATTTATATTTGATGATCAATATCCAGTTGAACAGCTATGTTTCATTTTTCCATGTGTGCAACGTTTACGCATAGATTCAATTAACAAAGCAATCATGATTCGTATGATTGATGGATTTACACATTTGTCAAATGCATCGTTCTGTCTTAAATCGTTGTCCAAACGAGATCAAAACGATTGGCAAGTGAAACCAGAATGGGCACTTTTTGAAGCACGACGACTAAAATACTCCACCTATACTTGTCGATATGAGAATTCATATCTACACGCATGGATCAGCGAACAAGTAAGTCAGCTGCAGTTGAAAACACTTTTCTTGTTCTACTAATATTGTCATTTAGTCTCTACCCTCTTCCCGAATATGGCATTGGCTACAACGAAGAGATTACTGGTATTACAGAGTTCAATCGATTAGCAGGCCGTTGGTTAATCTATTGATCGATTTTATTAATGCTCTCATTTCTACATCATTCCTTACAATATTTTACGCATTGATCGATTTTATTAATGCTTTCATTTCTATATCATTCCTTATGATGTTTTACGCATTGATGACTATTTACTTCAACTATGAACTACCATATCTCGTACAATATTTAATAGGTTGTATAATGATGGCGCATAGTTCACAGTCTAAAACTTCTAAGAAATACTTCGTAATTATTGCTTGTTTGATGACCTTATGTGCCTATGATGTTATACAGTATTTGATTAATAAGGATTATTATTGTCTAGTGTATTATCAGATAGGTCGCTCCTTTTGTGGGCACAATGAATCAGCTACAGCGAACTTAACTATGTTCTTATCCAACAATGATCTGAACTTCCATACATATATACGTTCCTATATCGAAGACACATTCATCTGTGATTCTTCATATTTTGTCTTTTCATACTTTGTAGGTATCATTGCTTTTTCTGTCAAAACTGTCTTTTTTATATTTCATCTTGTGTTCAATGACTTTCTTCAATTTTTCAATTTCAGTGTATCCATAAGTAGCCTACGTTCTATGAGACGTGGAAATTAACTGAACACAAGGTAACTGCATTTTTCTCTGCAAATATATCCGGTTATGTCGCCCTCATATCATCATTCTCTTAATAGTCCGGATAGGTGTGGGGGTGGGGGTATCCTCTCATTTGCGAACATAAAGTCGAAAACTTAAAGTTTATTAAATTAAATTATACTTTATTTTTTAATTAATTTGAATTTTTCCGATTCAAAGCGATTGAAAGTGTCAAATTTTCGATTTTGAATTCGTTAAAACTCATTACTTGAAACGAACTCCGAAAATCAAAATCATTTGCTTTTATTATTTAATATTTTTTACTGAAACGAATTTTAACAGCAATTTTGTTTGCAGAATTAAAATTTGTAGAGTTCGCTCTTGTTTTCTACTTTATTTCTATATTTTTTTTTTAGGAAGACATAGAGCTCGCTAGTGCTTTCAATACAATTTTGTATTTAGTTTAGGAAGATGTAGAGTTCGCTTGATATATGCTTAGAGTGTGCTAAACTACGTAGTGCTCTTCTTCTTCTAAACTAAGTGTCATATTTAGAGTTCATTAGACCAAATTACCAATATGAACGTCATAAGCCTGTTTTTGTATTGGAAGTCTATTTAGTTTCTATAATCACATAAGATCAACAGTCCATTGAAAAGAAACTAATTGGAACTGCAAAATATAATTATTCAACAACGAAAACTGTGGAAAAAATGTAAACAGGACAAGATTTTGGTGTTTGTATTCGAGTTCTCTTCAAACTAGTGTCCATCGAGGTCATTATTTGAATGGATATTGAATCATGTTTGTGGAACATGGGAGAAACAATTCAAAATCTCCCTTCGATCTTCATCAAAACTTTCTTTTTTTTTCGTTCCGTGCTCGAGCTATATTAGGGTTCGTTTTTCAATATGAGAATTAAGTAAATCACCTTCATAAAAGCGTTCCTAGTTAAGATTAAGATTCATCGTAGTTAAACTAAATCTATGATCTTGCTACGTTCCAGAAAAGGTTTTATAAAAAAACTCACATGATCAACCTATTTCAGTGATCTAGTTTAAAATGCAACAAGATTTCATTGGTATTTTTTAAAACAACTTATTCGACATTACATCCCACTTATAAAATCTTCTTTTTAGTGAAGCAAAAAAATTCATAATTAATCCAGAGCTGATAAAGTTTTCTGAATCAAATCACTAGAAATGTGAAACTAATTTTGTTTTGCTGCAGTGTTCTTACACTAACTTTCAAAATAAGAAGTGACACTTTCAGACCACATTCACCTAGCTTCAAACAGACTACACGCGACACTACTAAATCTTTTTTACATTCAGTTGGATTTATGCTAGACATTCTAGCGAACCCTACACCTTCCTAAACTAAATATAAAATTGTATTGAAAGCACTAGCGAACTCTACATCTTCCTAAATCTATAGATAGAAGTTGCATTGAAAACACGAGCGAACTCTAAATCTTGCTAAACTGTATGCAATTTCAAGTTGAAAGTGAAAATTTTCAAACAGAAGCATTGATCAACGACAACTTGAAAATTAAATTAATTTAAATTTTATCGTTTTAGAAAAACTAACAATTTGAGATATTAATTTTAATGTTTACTGAAATTTAAAATCTTCATAATATTTCAAAATTTTATTTGAGTTATGATCGCAAATGAGAAGAAGCCGGTGTGGGTGTTGCTGAAAAGATGACCAACACCCGCACTCACATCCGCGACGGCGACGGCTCAGTTGCACGGCTTACATCTCTAGTTATTTCGAGTATTGTCCGCCAGTTTCTGAGAAAAGCCAAAAAAGTTTACTTACTCTAATTTTCTTTTTCTTTTATTTAGTTCTCATGATACTTCTAGCAATTTTATTGGAGGAATTCAGTCGTCAAACTATTTTCTTTTCTTTGTTGTTTTAAATTATTTATTCTCATAGTTATGCGTTGCCGTCTGGACAATCCGAATCAGTTGGTCCAATTTGATTGTTTAGTCTTTCATCATTTAGTTATGTTCGTAGTGATCGTGAACTTTATCGAAAAAATGGAGGCTAGTTTACTTTGCTGTCTTCATTTAATTGCATCAATGCTTTAACTGTTTTTTTAACAGAGAAATGAAGAAAGTTAGTTTAGTTTACTTCTTTTTTATTTTACTTATTCCGATAGTTACCGAAGATTTTACAGTAGCAATAGAATGAAAAAAAAACGCTTCCCTTTTCTTTTCTTCAGTTGGTTATTTCAAGTATTGCTCGTCAGTTTTCTGAGAAAAACCTAACAGTAAAATCGAGGAAGCTAGTTTAGTTTATTTCTTTTCTATTTTACTTATGCCGATAGTTACCGGAGATTTTACAGAAGCAATAGAATGAAAAAAAACGCTTCCCTTTTCTTTTCTTCAGTCGGTTATCCCATGTATTGCTCGTCATTTTTCTGAGAAAAAACCTAAAAGATTAGTTTGTTTTAATTTTTCTTTTTCACCATTGAGTTATTCTGAAAGTAATCGCGCATTTTATAAAAAGAACAATCGAATAACTTAGTTTCGTGTTCTTTTTTTCTCAGAACTATGTTCTTACTGCGTCCATTTGTTCTGAGAGAAATAAGAAATTATTATTTAATTTCCGTTTTATTATTATTGATTTTTTTTTATTTCGTTCTTGTTTTTCTTCTACCCATGAACCAGTCTTCTGAGTCTTAAATTCGCTTCGATATAGTAAGTTCTGGATCTGAGCTGTATCCATACTCGTCTGTGCGGCGGTCATAGTTTCTGATGGTTTGTATAATGCAAAAAAAAATGTTATTATCGAAATGCAACGATATCATAGTATTTTAAAGTAGACTTTTTTTTTCTTTTAATATAGCATAATCAATTTCTGATTTGTTTCATTCCATCATATTTATACTATAAGAAAAATTATGAATGAGATTGTGCACGCAATAAATTCAATTCATAAAATATTGAAATCTCCATCTGAACATCCGCTTTCACATCGAAACAGATCTCAACTAGTCGATATTCTTAACATTTTAAATCTATTTATTAATTCGAATTCACCAAGACAAGAATGGATTCGATTGATTTGTCGACAGTTAAACCGTTTGACGAATTATAATCATTTAATTTCAAGTAAAATTTGGATTCAATCTTATGACGATATCTTTTATGTACAAGACAAAGCAAATGGCGAACAAGGTATGGGTAGGAGTTGGAATCATTTTAATAGAATGATAAATTTTGAAAAAGAACTGGAGTATCGTGAATTACGATTTTACCAGAAAATAAAAGAACAAAAAAGTTTAAATCAACTCTTTTGTGAACATCAGAAGTTTTTCAAAGAATATCTTCAAAAATGCATTTCTCTTCATTCAAAAGTGAAGGTACAAGGTCTGATAGAAAATATTGATGATCTTCTTAGTAAAATTTACGAACTCAAAGAAATTTCGATCACTTCAAAAAGTCAAAAGCGTCGTCTTAAGGAAAAACTAAAATATATTGATATAAATTTCGATTGTAGGAATAGATCATTCGAATGTTTAAGTTCTCGATTTTCTACAAAAGATAATTCATATAAGGAGGAAATCAATAGTAATAATCTCAATACCTTTCTACCTTCAATCGAACAAATAAAAATAAGTAGAAGTAATAAAGCTAAGTGCATTACAAATATACTCCAATGTAATCGATGGATTATCATATTAGGTGATCCAGGTAGTGCAAAAACTAGTCTCCTCCGATGGATTACATGTGTTTTTGCTAGATCAATTCTTAATGGTCATGCACAAGTAGTTTTAGAAGGAGATGATTGTATTCCAGTTCGTATTCCGATTTTAATTCGAATTGGTGAATTTGCAACATGGCTTAAGCAATATCCAACAAAGACATTAATAGATTATATTGGAGAGCATACATGGGATTCAAAACGTTATTGTCATGATGATAATAAAAATGTATTGAAAGAGTTGATAAATCATGGTCATACTTTAATCCTTCTAGATGGACTTGATGAGATTACTGAAGTTGGACAAAAAGGAGAAATTGTTGATCTTGTTAGAAAATTTGTTGATGAATATGTTCGTGGACCTGATTTTATCTCGGCATTCGATGATAGAATGTTTTACGGAACACCATTAGATTATTGTTATCATACAATTGTTGAAACACAGCCACCGAGTATACCTGGTGGTAATCAGATAATTATTACAAGTCGTATTATCGGTTACCAATTGCATCCACTTATTGGTACCTTCATTCATCACTATGCATTTTTATTAATGAATTATAATGAAGCAAAAGAATTTGTAAAGAAATGGTTATCACAAATTGAGAAAAGTATACTTGAAATATTATTGAATGAAGGAATTAATCTTGATCGAAAATTAATGAAAGTTCTATCGAAGAGACGATATAATATTGTAAAAGTATTGCTTGAAAATAGTTCAGAATTATTATCAAATCCTTCTTTGTTATCATTGATTTGTACATTTATTTTTCAATCATTCGATAAATTTAATCCAAAATCTCGAGTTGAAGTTTATAATTATGCTGTTCAAGTAACATTACATTCTTGGAAAAGTTATGAATCAAACATTCCAGAAAGAGTATTAACTAATTTTTTGATTGATCTTGCTTGTTATCTTCATTTAAATTCACCATCTGGTCTTATAGATGAATTTGATATGAAAAAATTATGCTATTTAATCTTACAACAACAAGGTCTATCATATGATCATAAAATATTACATGAATACGTCCATAAGTTAACATCTTTACTTGACTTTAACATTGGTATTTTTGCTGAACGAGGTTTACAAATATATGGATTTCTTCATTTATCATTTCAAGATTACTTTGTTGCTCATTCACTTATAAAAGGTTCACCCGATGAGGTTGCAAAACGTATTCTTACAATCACTATTCATTCTCGTTTTCATGAATCACTTCTTCTTGCTATTGGTTGGATTAGTTGGAAATGGTCATTTGATGATTATGACATATTTTGTAATTTACTTGTTACTTTACCTACACAATATTCAATTCCATTTGGAACAATTCTCTTTTTTGATGCTTTCAATGATATACAAAGATTACCTTCAAATTCA